GGAAGCTGAGCGCGTGGGAGGGGAGGCAGGAGCAGCTCTGCTGATGCTCGAGCTGCTGGCGGCCAGCCCCCATAGATTTCATAGATATTCTAACAATTTTTATCTGAGTGGAAAACTTATTTCCATGGCATAAATTAGCCCTATTTGCATGTGGATACACCTATGAATAGTAGCTGGCTCTGATGATGCTGTCTCTGTAGCGTGCATTGATTTCTGTAGAATTGTATGTAATTGTACACGTGCTTTTGATTTTTTTTGTCTTTGTATTATTTCTTTCTTGAATTGTGAAATCTGAGCAGAGCCTTTGATGTATCTTGTTACTTTTGTAGTTTTGCACGAGAGGAGAAAAATTAAAAATCTGGTTTCCCTCTGCAAAGTTTTCCTGATTCTTCTTTCATGATGTTATATCTGCAGTGTGCGCTTAAATATTATGAAAGCATCTAGCTGCAGATCAAGAGCTGGCTTAGAAAGAGATGCTCTTTGTTCAAAAAGTTTGTAGTATCGTTACTGCTGCGTTGCATTTTGGTTTGTGACAGAGTGATGTTAGATTGGTAATGCTGCCTTACTAGGATGTATGTTATATATTGTAATGATTTCTCAGTTTTCTTTAGTTGGATTTTAAATGAAAAGTAGATGCTGGAGTGATTGGGCGAACGTATTTGAATATTGTGGTCACCTAAAATAGTTTGGCCTCTCATTGTTTTGTTTTGTTGAGGAGCCTGCATTTAAGTGAATATTCTGTATATTAACCCATTTTAATGTAAAGGAAAAAAAAGAAATACACCTATTTGATGTTCTGCTCTCCCATTATTGGCTACTTGAGAAACGCAGTCTGCACAGCATTGCTGTAATCTTTTAAACAGGAATTGCCCCAGCCATGTGCCTATATTAGCTCCTTTCTGCTGCCCTGTTGCTGAATTTATTCTTTTTGCAACAAATGTGGTATTTACTATAATATATAGTATTATGCATACAATATTTGATGCTGGCCTCTCTCAAATTGGATGTCAGATTTTTGAACCATTGGCCGTACTAGGATGTGGTAGAGAGCCGTGCCAGAGCAACTGCTTATCTTTAATATAGCAGGATGGTCTCTGGGTGTTCCAGCTCCCAATATACCTTACTCGTGCTCACTCTGAGTGAGCCAGATCCTCCCTGTGCTGCTAGTATTGCTAATGCTTCTCTTCATGGTACCACCACTCTTTGTGTGCTGCTTGACGAGCAGGAGATACCTGGACGGTGATTTTTAAGGCTGCATTCTCACCCATGTGTTCAATGCCTGTCCTGGGAAGGAACTACTTCTGCTTCAGTATGCCAGTGCAGGGTGTCTGTTTGGGACCGCACAGTTCACGTCTGCATTTAGGCTATTCCAGGCCTATTCTTGTAGCTTGGACGTGGCTCAGATTTGCTCGCTGCATGTTTTAAAGCTGTGACAGTACAGTTAAAATGTAATCTCTTCTTTCTCTACCATCAGTCACTCGGCATCCGAAGAAGCCTCTGGCTCTGACTCTGCAAGCCAGTCTGAAAGTGAGCAGGGCAGCGAGCAGGGCAGCGAGTCAAACAGCAGCTCGGAGTCCTCTGAAAGTCAGTCTGAATCTGAAAGTGAATCAACGGGTTCAAAATCCCAGCAGACCCCTCCTGAAACCAAAGAAAAACCGGCCTCTAAGAAGGAAAGGATAGCAGATGTTAAAAAGGTATTGACCTTGCTGCTCTGCATAGATGTGTTACCCCTGTAGCCACCACAAAAAAGCAGACAGCAGGACCTTAACAAAGCTGTCTTGAACTTCCCTGACACTTTGTACATTGCCCAAACAGCCTCTGACCTCTGGTGTCCTCAAGTCACTCGGCTGTTTGGTCTGTGTGCTTGTGCCCTGCTGGTGTCATCCTTGTGAGCAGGAGCTTGTGTGTTTGATGGAACAGCCCTGTGGGCACCAGAGACATAGTGATGGGGCTGACTGATGCGAATGAGGGGCAGGTGCCTGTCATCAATACATGACCCTGTCATTTCATCCTCTCCCTCCATCTTTCCACTGCTCTCTCCTGTCTCTCCCTCAGAAGTAGAAAAGCTTCCCTATGTGATATATAATCAGGATAAAGCTTGTCTAAGATTTGGGACACTTCGGTTTGTTTCCATCACTGTCTTCCTCTTTGGAGAAAGTAAAGAAAAAAAAATAAAGAGGAGGAAAAAAGCTATTTAACTTCTATTATTTATTAAGTCCAGCACAGTGGTTCTTTGTTGTGGTGTTTTTCTGCAGCTTCCCAGCCACCCCCTAGCAATAACCCCTTCAAATAGGCAAGTTTGCCTTCCGCGTGTTGCTGCACAGGAGGAAAAGGGCGTGCAGGTGTCTAATGCATGTGGTGTGTCTCTGGTTGGTGAGCACCTCCCCAGTGCAGAAGCTGTGCCTTGGGTAGCTGCTTTACCCGAGGGATGGAGGCACCTGAGTAACACAGCAGGTGAGAAAGAGGAGCTCAGATACCCATTTGGAGACAGGAACTCAGTGAACTGAGTTTACTTGGAGGGAAGAAAATCAGGTTAGGTCAATTCTGGGCTTTATTTTGTTTGTTTGTGGTGTATAACTATCCTGTTCTTCTTAGCTGTGGTTTGCACTTTGCACAGCTTGCTCATGAGAGTGAGTTTTATGGAGAAAGTTGCTATGTATGTAAAGACTGAGAAGGGCAGTGCTTTCAGCCTGTGCTCCCCACCTACCTGCAAGGGAGAAGTGAAGGATTTTGTTATCAGCTTCTACCTCTCACAAATCTCTAGGCTGTCAGCTCAGATCGTGGCTAAATCTCCCATGTTCAGACTGGCAAGGAAGGATGCGTTTATAAGGCAGTTGTGGTAACACCATATTCAAATTTCTGTTTTATTGTTGGTAAGTGGGGACTGAAGGAAGTTTTCTCTTCCTTTGTGGGCTTCTTAAGAGCATGTCCCTAATAATAAACATTAAAATTACTCTGTGAGGGAGCACATCCATATGCACGCTGATAATTAGCATGGATGAAACATGAAAAGGTCAGGGTACCCTCTAATAAGAAAGCCTCTCCCTTCCTTAATTTCTCTGTTAATGGGTGTTTTCCTTAGCTAGGTCTAAACTAGGCATGTTGATACATGTTCCTCTTGAATAACCAACGCAATTAATTATTATATTATTGTTTATTTTGTATTTCTGTCTAGATACACCCATGAAGGTGAGGTTAATTTGCATTAGGTGCTATTCAGATTTGTCATGGGAGTTGATCCCTCATCTAAAACCTGTGCCATTTAAAAGATGAAAAGACAAGTTCTTCAAACAGTTTGGGGAATATTTGGAGTTTTCTTTCATGTGAATTTATCTTTGTACTTGCATGCCCAACAGATATACACCTTTGCAATCTGTCTGTTGCAGTGTTATCCCATTACTCCTTTAGCGGTAGCAGAAAAATGGCTGGGCTGTAGCTTTGTATTCGTCACGCTCTCAATCCCAAGTCACTGGCAGTGTATTCTTTTCTTGCCAGTGGCTTGCAGAGAAGTTTGAGGACTGGAGAGAGAGAGAGAGAAGCATGAGGAGAATGAATAGGTTTCGAAAACTGTACGAGGATAAGCTCTGCTGAGGGAGAGAGGGATTGTTGGTGTAGAAGTTTGAAAGGCATGTTGCTGGTTTGTACCTGTCCTGTAAATCTTCTGGTGTCCTTTGTCACCAACACAGCTCTGCATTCATGTCCCTCAGCATCAGTTCTTGTCTCCCCCTTCTCCTGTCCATCCAGTGAGAACAAATGCATGTTGTTAAACACAGTGTATTAAACCATTTAGGGCCTGGTTACAGCAAATAGAGCACAACCATTCCCAATAGTTGGCTCTGCACATCCATGTGTCCTGTGCTGCCAAACCACATTCGCATCAGTGCATTCAGGAGAAGAACCGGCAGCACCTCCAGGGTGCCCTGGTCCGTTTGCCATCCAGGCTGGTTCACAGAATTCACTTCTGAAGTTGCTGCTGGTGACGTCTCATCACTGGACTCATCAGGCAATGGTGGGGTTTTCCCTGTGGAAAGGAACTGTGGTGGAAGCTGTTAGTGACAGTGAATTGTCCTTCTCAGTTGGTAGGTCTGTTCATTCCACGTGCAAGGTGTTGCCTCCTTACCCTCAGCACAGTTGTGCAGAGGGCTGGCTAACTCAATGCTCTGTCCTTCAGCCTGAGTGAGCTGGAGAGTAATTTGTACCCTGGTGGAAAGGCGAACCACTGTACAGATAATGCTGAGATAAAACATATTGTTTTAGAGTGTTGCCAAATACCCCAAAATAATCATAATCTTTTTCAGCCAGTTTTTTAAAGTGTCCATCTACTGGTTGCTAATTCCCTAATGGTTTTATGTTGATTTTTTAAGAAAACATTCACCATCACACTTCTCTAAAATGTCAGAAATAATTGGGGTGAAGCAGGCCTTCTGATGGTCTGTTTATTTTGCAGATGTGGGAAGAATATCCTGATGTTTATGGGGTTAGGAGATCAAACCGAAGCAGACAAGAACCATCGCGATTTAATATAAAAGATGAGGTAAGGAAAAAAAAAAAAGGATGAGGGCATACTGAACATATAAAACCAACCAAGCCCAAAGAGCAAAGGCAGGTCTCATATGCGTTGCCTTGTAAACACTGAGTCCTAGCCTGGTGTGTGGGTGTCGGAGCTCACGTTTAAGGTCCCAGTCCTGCAGTTGGATCTGCTTGGCCTGAGACCTCTGGAGTCAGTGGGACACCGCGTGGGCTGAGATCTGCATGCACTGATCTGATTGCTGGAACGGGGCGTAATGCAAGTCATGCTCTTCTGTAGAAATGTCCTGGAGAGAATGAGTCTGTGTTTAAAAAAAAACCCCCAAAAACAAACAAAAAAAAACACCCAACCCACCACCAAACAAACAAACCCGCCCCCCCCCCCAAAAACATAACACCCATCCATCCAGGAATAAAGGAAACTTCCCAGAAACACCTCACAACAGCAAAACAGTCATTGTTGCCCATCCCAGAATGGATCACGCTGATAAATGAATTTGTGTGTGTTCAGCTTTATGAACCATCACTTTTCTTTGGTTGATTATTGGCAAGTCTCTTATGCTTCAGGTGGAGGTGACAGTGCTCAGAGCCTGGCAGACAGACCTTCCAATTGTTCAGATGTTTTTTAGTAAGAATTGGCTGCTGCCTTCACTTACATCTAACTGGCTTTCTGCATAGAGCTTTTCATCCACAGGTCTTCAGGAAGGTTGAGTAGTTACAGAGGAGAAGAAGGAAAACCAGGGAGAGGCTTAGACCGAAAGTAAAGCCTGGGGCTTAGAGCTATGTACAAAAACATGCAGTTGGGAATCTGAAGATAAGTAGCCAGATTTTCGTCAGAGCAGGAGCCCAGTGGTGCTCTCTGAGGATCGGGCTATTTGTGCTTCGCTGCCAGAATGCGCATTTGGGTGCTTGAGAGGTCCGAGTCATGTGGCAAACGCAGGTCTCTGGCTCCTTGCTCTGGTACATTATCGTTGAGGCTTGTGGCACCCCCAGTGCCACCCCCTACCACCCCCAGACGCCTGTGCTGGATGTCCTGCATAGCAGCAGGTTAGGAAGGGGCTTGGGGCACATCATTGACTTAGCTTTTGTTTTCCTTTTCAAGTTCGGCAAAGCCCAGGCTCGCTGGCCACCTCTCTGTGCGATGCCCTGGCATGCACTGTGCTGGCGATGTCACACCCACCACAGACCTCCGCTGCAGACCCGAGTGCCCTGTTAGGGGCTCAGGTAAGTCCCGTCTTTTTTTGTTTTACAATATTACGTGGTTTTGCAAATGTTGTTTTCTTTTTCGATATCTTTATTTCCTACTACTTAAGGTACGATAAAGTTTAAAAAAAATTTTTTAAAAATCCAAGATGTAAAAACTTTGCTATACCACAAAATATTGTAAAAAACAAAAAAAAAGTACTCCAAATGACCCCACTGCCACCTTTGTGAAACTGAAAGCCAAAATTACAAAATTGGACTACCCCCTTTCCCCCTCTCTCCCTCTCTCCCTAAAGTGACACTGACTGGTCCCCATAGGGCAACTCCCATCTGCAGCAGAGTCTGATGGAGGGTGTGACGTGTCAGGAGCACAGTGCTGGGGCCTCGCAAAGAGCAGGAGGAGATGGAAAGTCTTGCTTTTGGAAGACCTAAACGCCAAGAGGGAGGAAATAGCATAGCTGGAGCCTGCATGGTGCTGAGCACTCCTTGCTGCTGCTGGAGCTGGCAGAAACCCAAGGCGCTTGACACCTCTTAAGATTGCTTTTTACCTTTACAGGGTTAAGCCTGTCGCCAGTGACCTGCTCTTGTCGCTTGCTGCTTTGGGACTTCCAGCACAGAGTCTAGGAGCTTTTAATTGCCTTCTTCCCTAACGCTTCTCTGCAGTATTAGCGAACAGCATCGCCCAGGCAGCGTGGCAGGCTCAGAGCGCAGAACAAGAATCAGCCATCACATCTCCCCGTGTGCTGCCCTGTGACTCACCCTGGTCGGGGGCGACGGCGCGTAGGTGGAGGTGGTTCAGTTTTTGGGGCACTATTCAATCTGTCCTCTGAGAGCGGCAGTTTGGGCAGGGTTGTTTCTGTGTTAGATATTATTGCCTTCTGGGAACTGCTTGGAGGCCACCAGGCACATTGTGTAGGTCTCTGAGCAGCAATCAAAGAGGGTGATAACTTGCGATCAATATTGAGGCGTGGGTTGAAAGATCAGGAAGCGAAAGTGCAGTTTTGCATAGTCATACAGAGCTGCTCAGAGGATTAGAGCTGTCTCCAGGAATAAGAGCACATGTGAGTTTTTTAGTAAAAACTGTACTTGCCCATGCGTTTTCTTTGCAGTTAATAAATCAGCTTTAGGTTTCAGCCAGGGGAAGTGAGACAGGCAGAGCCAGGTGCCTTTCAGAGTATTCAGGGGCAGTCAAGAAATAAATGTGCCCAAAACAGACATGATCTTTTTTCTATAAAAAGGATGGTTTGAGATTGGATTAGTAGTAAATAACACAGCGTGTATTTTCTGTGAGAAAAAGGCCACAAGTCATGCACTGTAGGTGTTCTCAAAATACAGTTGGTTTTATTATAAAAAAACCCACAAAACTGCTCATTTACATTTTGATAAATGCTTTGCCTCATGTCTTTGCTGAAAGTTCAAATGCTACCAGTATCGCTGGGAGAGAGAAGTTCAGCAAACATATGAAAACTAACCTGGCAAGCTGAGGTTCTCCAGCTTTTCTGGAGCACTAGAGCTTGGCCTCTGTTAAGCCTGAAATGAGCAAATCCTCACTTTGACTTTAGTTTGAAATATTTCTTGCCTCTATTTAAGCAAGTATTCATCTCTCCTAGTGGGCAGCATGAGCTCAAGAGGCTCAGCTGGACCATGCCAATGGCCTTAAGTCTCTGTTTCTCCTGCCCTCGGCTAGCAGTGAGGACACTCGTGGATCAGGACGCTAAAGCTGTACTGCGTTGCTCTGGTGCTGCGTACGCAGCATCGTTACATTTTGTACTGCACTGCTCCACGGCAATTTTGCATAATTAATCTAGTAAAAGTGTGCACACTTAAGTGCTGGGAGAGAGAAAGAATAAATTAGATGGGAGGTGTCAGTGAGGCATGTGAGACGGATGGCTGATCCCTTCAACTGGAGGTGGGGAAAGCAAATTGTAAGAGGTCGGTTCCTAGTCCAGCTGGATGCAGTGGTGCAGGAATAAGTTGGGCACGTTTGTAGTGTTTGTTAGGGAAAAGGGGAACTAGAGAAGGCAATTCATCTTCCCCCTTGGCCACAGCAGCAGCACCCCAGAGGGGCAGCCTGGGCCCAGCAGAGTTTTGCCAGTGCTGGTACTCGGGCTCTGAGAGCGAGCAGTATGCTGCCGGCATCTCTTTCTGGGCTGACAAAAACCCTGGTGACTGGAGACCATTTCCATTTTGTCAGCTTAGCTTGTGTCATTCAGGGAGGTGACATGATGAAAATCGAAGTTGCATGTGATTTCCCAACCCGTCGTCTTCCTGATGAGGGTGGGTGGCAGGCTGGCGTGCAGATGGGACCTCAGGTGCGTGCTCAGGACCTGGCGTGCTCCCAGCTCTCTGGTTATCATCTGCTCTCCCTTAACAGAGGAATTTACCACCAGCCAGCGTGTGGGTTGATGTTGATAATGGGGTGTTACAAGCACAAGCTCTGTTTGTGCTGCAGAGTCTGGAGCAGAGGTACAGTTCTCACCCTTGGGCCGATTTGAGCAGTTCAGTGTAGAACTCTGTGGCTGGGTCCTGAAATGTGGATTTAAGCGGAATTAAGAGGTTGCTAAAATGTGCTTCTGCTTTTTTTTTTTTTTTTTTAAATATTATTTATGTATGAAATGTTGAAAAGCGCTTTCAGACAGGGGCTGGAGCCTGGCAGCTCGGGGTCGGGATGCCAGGAGGAGTTGGTGAGGAGGTGCAGGTTGGTGGTAGGTGAGGGAGTGGGGAGGAGAGCCTGAGTCACGGGTGGCTGCGCAGGGCTGCAGGCATGGTGCTTTCCGGCACTCGGGCAGGGAGGATGTGGGAGCACAAGGCAGGCAGATGACTCAGGCTGGGGACTGGCTGTGTCAGAGGAGGTAGAGCTGGGCTTGACACGCATCCAAGAGAGACAATGGCGTCTTTGAAAAACGTAACTGAAGGCGGCTGAATTGCAGTCACAAGTTAAAATTTTCAAGGCAGAAAGAGGTGAGGAAAAGACATGTCATTAAGAGACCAGCATCAGCTTTGTATAGAGACAGCAACAGAGCAGGGGAACAGTAGAGGCATTAGGAAAGTGGACACTAGAAACTTGAAAAACAGGATTTTGGCAAAGAAATGGAGTTAGTTTCAAAGAGCCAAAGGTTGTATTTGGTTTTCTTCAAATCTGATCTTTGACAAAGAGCAGAAGAATAATCCACCTCTCTTTACTTGTGGTTTGCCAAAAGACACCAGAAAACAAACGTGCATTGAGGGACAGCTCTTGAAAAACATGCCAAAATTGGAATGGCAAAGCAGCATGCTTCAGAAAGTGGATAAGAGATTAAAAGAGAAAAAGAAAATCGAGGACTTTTAAACTTTGCTATGTTGAAACTGAAATCTGTGGGATGCTTGTCTTATGTTGCAAGGGTAGGTAGGGCTCTCCATGGTGTTTGCCAGTCACTTGCTTCCTGGATGCTTGGTCTATGAGACGGATTTCATGCAGGGCTGTGAAACAGATGGATGAACGCGTTTGTAGTAAGATACGGTGCAAAAGGTGCTATTGTCACATGTAAATCTGACAGCAAACCACAGTGAAATTCAGCAAGCTCTTGGTCTAACCTGGCATCCAGTATTTCAGTATATGTTAATGGAAACACTGATGCAAGCGAGAAGGAAATTTCTGTTAGTGAAAGGGAAGCTGAAAAATGGAAGTAAAGGATTCAGAAGGAAAGCAGAGGTGTGGACCACAGCTCTCTAGAGCCTCAGCTTTTTCATGTTACAGCTTCACACCATTTCATGAAATTCTTATGTGATCAGCTCTTAGTTTTAAGCTTTGCTAGCTGTAGCCAGGAGTGTGGTGGTTGTATCAGGAGATGTGAACTGAGGTGCTTGTGGTGATGGGCAGACACTACCTAGAGCTGAAAGTGAATACTGCAGCAAAAAGCAGTATGAAGCAGAAGATTCCCAATAAGTGTATAGAGCAAGCAGTCTTGGTGGCTTCTCCTATCATTTTAATACTCCTTTTCAAATCTCACATTGGCTTCCTTAGTTTTCTCCTTGTCAGTTTGTGTTTTCTGGGGCAAGTGTATAAGGCAAAGTCATCTGTTTGGTTGAGGGGTTTTATTTGGGTGGTAATCTGTTTTTATGGTTGACTAGTTTTTACGAAAATCGGGTTGTGTACAACCCACCTGAAGGTTTGGGGGGGTTTTTTTGGTAGCTATTTTGGTCTGTAGGAGTTAATGACGCCCACATTTAAATAGCACATTAAGTAGTTAGAGTATGTCTAGATATATTTAGCCAGAGAGACTTCACTGGTGGAGACTGGAGGATTAGGAGGAAGGAAAGCAGCAGGACACGTCTCTGACCCAGTCAGGTCCTCAGCAACTCAGGAAAGCAAGGAGACTCCTGTGATGAGAAGAATGTTTTATAAACATTTCCTTCCTTATAGAAAGCTTCTCTAATGAAGGCAGAGGTCATAATGCATTTGTGTGGCTGCGAAAGTTGCTGCAATCACAGAAACTAAGCCGGAGTGCCCCTAAATATTGCAGGATTCCTGGCAGAAATGGCAAGTACGGGCACTCACGAAAGTACATTCAGCCACTGCACTTTCAGTTAAAAGCCTTGTAAAACAGCTGAGCTACTGTGTCTCATGTAAATATGGCAGCAAGCTGCAGTGAAATTCAGCAAAGCTGTGGCAGGCCCTGAAAGTGCCGTCCAGAAAGCATTCCCGAGCATCGGGCAGGAGCACGCTCACCTTGTACCGTAGGCAGAGGTAGCGGCAGCTGAGCCTCCCTCCCTCTCTCTCTCTCTGGGGTACGTTTTGGCTCCAGCGCCGCGCGGTGCGAGGTTTGGTGGGTTAAATTCACCCCGTGGTTTTGTAATCCGTGGGGTATTGCACACACTGCAGGTCTGCCTGGCCACTACCACTGCTGAGACGGCATCTGCCAGGTATTGGAGGTTGCTGCTGAGGGGTAGATGGGTCGCAGCGTTGCGCATCCTGAACTCAGGGACTCCGGAACAAATGTTGTAGTAGAGCTCTCCAGCCTTTCTGCAGAGTTACCTTCTTCATGTTGAGAGCACAGCGGCATTAAACCTGCAGCCGAGGGAACAGTGCCGAGGAGCTAGATGCTCTTTTGCAGCCCCGGTGCACCAAAGCATCCTTCCAGCACTGCAGCAGAAGAGCAGTCGGGCTGTGTCTGAGCTCAGACCACATGCATGCGTTTCAGTTGCGTCCTTGAGGAGACAGTCCAGAGTGAAGCCTACAACCTGATTTTCTTTCTTTTCAATTAAAGGCAAGTAGTGAATCTGAAAATGAGAGCCCAAAAAGAAGAGGCCAGAAGCAAATGAAAAAAACGTAAGTTTCTAGGGAAAGTGTTTTGAATGGTGGTACTTTGTCTTGTTTTATTTTCAGAACAGTAGTATTGGGTTGTTTGAAAGATGTTGTCAACATGGAGAGCTTGTAAAATAAATTATTTGATATTTCCAGTAATAATACTTTGGATGACTAAAACTGAATTATGAATGTGGATCTACAGATGGACTCAATTTCCCAACTTTTCTTTTGTTTCTGTTTTCCCACTTTGCCTGTGACAGGATCTGAACAAGTCAGCTTCACTTTCTGTCAGTCTTTCACTTCTCCATCAGGTTACTTATTCTCCTTCAGAGATACTTAAAACAGTTTAATCCTTGCTTCTCTCCCCTTTTTGATTTATAGAGAATAAAATGCCAAATTATTCTCCTTCATCTTTCATAACACTCTGCTACAGCAAAAGACCTTCCATAAAGGATGGAATCACCATAACCGAGTTCACTTACAGTCATATTTTACTGCCTTTTTCCATCTAACAAGTACCTTCTAGTTTTTCCAAATGCTAAAATGAACTGAAGGGAGCTACAAGCTGCCTGCTGGTGAAAACTTAAACACAGCCACATGATCCTGCTCCCATTCTCCTGTTTCTTGTCTTTTAATTTTTCATTTAGTTGTACACATCAGTGCAGGAGGGAAGGTAATAAAGTGCAGGGAGGACTGCGGTAGTATGGAACTCTCCTGGGCAAGGGGAATAATCCCTGTGAACTCTCCACATCTCCTTGGAGAGAGGAGAGGCTCCTTCAAAGGGTGTTTTGGAGCTGCAGCTTTGCAGAACGTGCTTCCTTGCAGTAATGGTACGGTGTTATTTGGCTTCATGCTTGGAAACTTTAATTGTATGAATTCAGATGTCAGGAGACTGCTTGCTCCATTTTCAAAGCCACAAGGAGATCATGTAACTGTGCATGCTGTGGCTCGTACTCCGTAAGTGAAAGTGAGCACTTCTTTTAAAATTTTTCCAGCTCATTTCACAAATGCAGAGGTGGAAAAGAAAAATAAATAAATCGAAGCACTTTCCCACCCAGTTGTAAAAAGTACAGCTCTGCCACAAGCACTGGTGTAGTATGTGTTAACAGCCACTCTTACTTAAGATACACTGCCACTATGTGAACTAAAACCTAAGTGACTGAGACCTCTTCCTAAAAGCAGAGGCTCACACCATAAAATCCCCCATGCATTGCACTGAACAACCAAGAGTGCAGTTTTGAACTTTTTCTCGTAGTTGTGGCCTGCTAGTATTAACCTAGATGGCTTGGATGTCTGCTTAGCCAAGCATTTGTGTTGAAATATGATTGCCCTTCATGACCTACATTTCTGACCATAGAAATAAATGGAAAAGAGAGGTCTCTGGTGAAGACGAGGATGAAGATGGAGGGGATCAAGGCTCTAGTGGAGAGAGTGAGCCTGAACCGAAGAAAGTTAAAGCAAGAAGACCTGCCCAAAGGAGGTAAGGAATGGTTGGTTCAGTCTATCTCTTTTTCTGCATACGTCTTTTCTGCCTGTGCTGGGTGGAGAGGTAATCTCTGTTTGTTGCTAAAAAATTTTTTTTGGTTTTGTTTTTGGGTTTTTTTTTTTTTTTCTGCAATATTACTCTTTTTTATGACCTAGTAAACCTAGGACCTAGATATTCACTCATCTACCCATTTCATGCTCCAGTGTGTGATGCATTGGTTTCTATGGTAGTTAGAGCAGACTAAATCCCTAGGGGTCTAATATTTTATGCTTTCTTAAAAGACTTACTAAAATGGATGTTTACGTAAAACACGCTGTATTATGGCTTTATTAATTCTTATTCTAGAACAATGGCCAAAACCAACGTTAAAAAGCCTCACAAAACCCAGCGTGGGAAGAGGAGAAGGAAACCAGACTCATCTGAAGATGATGATGACGATGAAGATGATGAGACTCCCAAGAGACAAACTCGACGAAGAGCAGCCAAAAATGTCAGGTATCAGGAAGTGTGGGGTTGTTTGATGATGAGAACTGTTTGGCTGAGGAAGAGGGGACACCCCAAATTCCCTTCCCCAGGCACTGACTCCCTGTGTGATCCTGCAGAGAGACTCTCCTCTGCCCTGCAGATATCTGTTGGCTGAGGTGCGATTCTTTTGACAGGTTCATTCTGCGAACATCTCACTTCTCTTTACCTTGTTTTGCCATCTGTAAGGGAGGGAATATTTACTAGTCCCTCTTAGAGAAATGTGAGGAGGTTTGCATAATATTTTTAAAGCACTCTCAGATGAGATTAAGAATGACAAATAATAGATTAAAATGAGTAAAGTGAGCTGTGCTAGATTGGACCAATTGTCTGAGAGTGGCTGATCGGTAATGTCTTGGGACAAAGCATTGAGACATGGTGGAGGTAAAGCATTATCCATTCCCCTTCTCACCTTTTGGCAGTCCCAATAAGGGACTTGCAAAGAGCCACCTGAAGGATATTTTTAGTGGTTAAATGTTCATCAAAGGTGAAAAATATAGTTCCTAGGGCAGTGTAGGCACCCATGCAGCCTTTTTGATGCTCTACAACCTCCGCTGTTAAAATAATTTTTCACTGATAGTGGAGACTTTCTCTGTTGATGGTCTTGCTTCTGCTGCAGGGATTGTTCCACCTCCTCATGAAGCATCTGATGTTGGCCATGGCCAGAAAAAGTATACGGACAAGACAGAGTATTAATCTGATAAAGTGTAGCTATCTGAGTGTCTCAGGGAAAAATACCGAATGGCTAACTTAAGAAATGCATGTGCTGAATATGCACCAAACCCTAGGGTAAATTCTGGAGAAGGCTTGCTCCAGTCCATGCCATTCTGTCTGTTTCTACACTGGGAAGTCAAGGGCTTTTTTTATCAGTTTGGTTTTGATCTTGTTCAGTTACAAAGAAGATGATGATTTTGAGACGGATTCTGATGACCTGATAGAGATGACTGGGGAAGGAGCTGATGAACAACAAGACAACAGTGAAACTATTGAGAAAGTCTTGGACATCAGGCTTGGAAAAAAAGGAGGTGCGTAGTTCTGGAAAAAGCCTTTATTTCTGATGTCAGTCGTGCGCTCATAGTTTCTTTTGAGCTGGTGCAATGCTTTTGCAACTTCAAAGTGGGGCCAAGGGTTGTTCCAGTGCTCTTCGCCCTTTCCTCTATGCCTCTCATTTATGTCTTCTAGCAGCTTTTGTAAAATCTAGTATTGAAAAACATAAAATGTCAAGTTTATGTGCTTGGCAGCTTTCATTTAGTGTGCACACATTTTAAAAACACAGTCATTGTTCTGCAATTCTTGCTTTTCTCTTCTTTAAAATATAAAGTAGATCTTCCAGTAGAGTCAGTTTTTGTAGCTCCACTGACAAAAGCCATAATGAAAATAAAGCCAATGTTTTGTTCTTATAGCCTTACAAAAGTGTTTTTGTAACACTGAATGGTCGTGAACATTTTCAAGAGAACTTTGAATTATACTTAAAGAAAAAGCATTTATGATAGAGAGATTTTTAAAAACATTCTGTTGTATGGAATACTTTTGTGCACCTGTCTTACTGGGTTGCAGAATTTGTAGGATACTCTTTGTGCTGTCACAAAAGATGCATTAGAAAAATAACTTTCTGCTCTAATGCAGTTCATGTCCAGTGCTTGATAACACAGGTACCAATTGGAGCCTAATTTCTTTTGCAGCCACTGGTGCTTCCACCACAGTGTATGCAACTGAAGCCAATGGCAATCCAAGTGCTGACTTCGATCCTGAAAAGGATGAAGGAGAAGTTCAGTACCTGATCAAATGGAAAGGCTGGTCATACATCCATAGCACATGGGAGAGCGAAGAGTCCCTGCAGCAGCAGAAAGTGAAGGGCCTGAAAAAGCTAGAAAACTTCAAGAAAAAAGAGGAGGAGATCAAGCAATGGTATGCTTTACTTCAACCAGTGATTTGGCCTTGGGAGAATCTTTTTTAGCCAGAGGTTTGCAGAGTCATGACTGAAAAGATCTGATTTCTTCTTGCAAAGCATGTTTCATCCAAAGCAACTGTTTTCAGTGCATAACACTCATGTCTCTGCCTACTGATGAACATCCCTCCTTACAGAAATGATGTCTGTGGTTGTGGTGTTGCAAGAGAGAAAGGCATGTAATCCACAATATTGCCACTTCCCAGGCTTGAGAATTGGAGTAGCTGACAACAAGTAAATGGTGCACAGATTCACCTGGCCGAGGAGGTGATGTGAGGGATTGCAGCCTTATTAACCCATGTAAATTATGGGCCTGTCTGTATGCAAGTTTTTGCATCAGTTTGTCTGACCTCCCCAGGAACTATAAGGGGAGCTATGGTGTGTCTCCAAAGTGATAAAGCTGGAGCAGCTTCCATCTCTGATTCTGGTTTTGAGGCTGATTCTTGGAGCAGAATAAGGCATCATTATTTAACAGGGAGGCAGTATGAACATCTATGAGATTTGCTTCTCAGTAATGATTTACAATTATAGGAGGCTTTAAGAAACATGTCATGTAAGCAGTACTCTCTGCTTCAGCGACTTGTCTGAATGGCAGAACCATGTAGGAAAGTAGAATTTCTTCATGTGGCATCCATGAGCATTATGACAGAAGCATTATAGTCTTTTTTTTTTTTTGCATCTAGGCTGGGCAAGGTATCACCTGAAGACGTTGAATATTTCAACTGCCAGCAAGAGCTAGCTTCAGAGCTGAACAAACAGTATCAAATAGTGGAGAGAGTAATTGGTAAGTGAACCTGACACTTTTGTAAAGGGGTGAAGTAAGACATGGGACCTTTAATCTCTAGTGACAGCAGAGTGCATGTATGGCGCTCTCTTCTTCCTTGTCCTGCAGTATCTCTGGAGAAAAAAACTGGTGTTAAGTGTATTTCAGTGTGTGAAATTCAGGGATTTGAACACCAGAAATATGGGTTTACAGATTTGTATTTACAAGCTGTACAAACTAATCACTTTCCTTGCCTGGAGTATGGGATGATATATTAGTTTCCAAGGGGATGTTGAAGTTGCTGCTGCTGAAATTCTTTCACTTCAGCCCTTTGGGTGGAAGGTGTTTGTATCCAAAGCAGCGGTACAGGCCTAGCTTTTGTGAGGACCATTTTCCGTGATGTCGTTGAAGATGTGGTTAGGCTGCAAGGCAGCTCAGGGGTTAGATTTCCATGATTGCTTATTAACATTAAAAACAGGACTTAGTGAGCACTTCAGTAGTACCACAGTCATGTCAGTCAGAGGTGCCAGCATCCAGTTGCTTTGGGAATTGGCTTGGAGAGCTGTTAAACCTATTTCCATACAATTCCTATGAAAATGCCTGGGATGTGTGGCAGTGACAGCCTGCCTGCCCTGCTCCCTCTGCTGGCTGTCAGCATTCCAAACCCTTCCTTCCCTTCTGTCTCCAAACACAGCGGTGAAGACCAGCAAGTCCACAACAGGACATTCAGATTTCCCAGGTAAAGGAGCATTTTTTGGTCCCTCTAAACTTTTCCTACTAGCTGAGACCTGTCTTGTGGTTGTACGGGTGGTTCAGACTGCCCCTGTGAACCATGCTTGTGGTTCAGCCACAGAACCACAGTTGCTGAGGTTTGGGCTTTTTTTCATATTTTGCAGCAAACAGTCGTAAAACATCCTCAAATGACCCTGAATACCTGTGTAAGTGGATGGGGCTGCCTTATGCCGAGTGCAGCTGGGAAGATGAGGCTCTGATAAGCAAGAAATTTCAACACTGCATTGACAGCTTCAACAATCGTAACAACTCCAAAACGATTCCTACCCGGGACTGCAAGGTTTGCTTGCTTCTCTTCTCATCTCTTCTGTTGCTGTGTTTCTCCAGGCTGGGTGATGACGCCAACAGTGGGAATGTGAAGTTTTGTCAGGATAAATGTCAGAGAACATTTTCCCATCCTCCCACCAGTGTTTGAATGGTTGTTCGCTGTTCTTGTATTGTACTTTAGGCAGAGATAGGAACCCCTTTTTGGTTTCATTTACTCTGTGCACAGTGAGAACATTATGTCCCCCTGAGGAGTGAGAGGCTTAATTAATCCTACAAAGTACTTCCTCTTCAGAGGGAGGAGGAAGAGCTGCAGCAGAAATGCAGTTTTAATACCAGCTGGATGAAAAAAACAGCACACCTGAGAAAAGTGAAAACCTGCAAGACGCTGATATGTTGGAGGAGGTGGACAGAGCTAATGGGGAAAAAAAACCCAAGAGCACAAAAAAGAAAGTGGAGCTTGTTCCATCTAATGTACATTATGTAAAGCTTACTGCACTCGTCGGGGGGACTCACAGCCCTGGTCATCAGAACCAGAGGACAGCAGGCAAAACATAACCCTGTGGAATGGCTATCTGAACTGCAGACATAAGCACTGGCTAGAAAAATGTGGACAGACTTTAACAGATGTAGATTCATTGCTGAATTTTCAACCTTAACTTTGTCTTTTTCTTCAGTGGGCTCACAGCATCTTCTTTTCCAGGTATTGAAGCAGAGACCGAGGTTTGTTGCCTTGAAGAAACAGCCTTCTTACATTGGCGGTGAGAACCTGGAGCTGCGAGACTACCAGCTGGAGGGCCTCAACTGGCTCGCTCACTCGTGGTGCAAGTACGTATAGATGCTATGTGGTACTCTGGTCAACACTGCAAATGAGCCATGTTTGGTTTTTGTCTCCTGATTTTTGTCACAGTAGGATCTGTCCCTTTTGTTTTCAAGTGAGGTCTTTACCCAGCCTGCTTCTGCAGCTTGAAGGATTTCAAACGTTACCGTGCCCAGCTACATTGCAGACACCACAAGCAGGAAATATCTAGAGCATGAACTTAAGAAACCTTGTGGAAAAACAAAAAGTATTTTCCCTGTCTGGGCCTGTTCACGTGCTGGACTTAGCTGTTGTGTGAACCTACTACGTATCACCCCTGATTTTCCATTGCCCTAACTGGAAAAAAAGGTTTCTGGTTCAGCATGCTTACACTGTCATTGAAGTCTTTAAGAAATGTCTGCCTAAAATTAGGCCACTGACTCCCCTCTCCCTTTGCCTTTGTCCGTGCTTGCCAGTTTGGAGTGATTATAGTCTGTTCCTTTTTGCAAGTTACTGTGCCCCATGCAGTCTGGGTGTCCCTGGGATCCACTTGGAATTGTTCAGATAAATGTTCTTCGCACTGCCCCGATTCTGTCTCTGTCGTGGGTTGCTATCATGCTGGTGCATAGTAAATTAGTAGTGGCAGAAACACGCGCTCAGACAGAATTTATGTTTGTTCTCTTCATTCTCAGGAACAACAGCGTGATCCTGGCTGATGAAATGGGCCTGGGCAAGACGATTCAGACAATATCGTTCCTGTCGTACCTCTTCCATCAGCACCAGCTGTATGGCCCTTTCCTGGTGGTGGTGCCCCTGTCCACTCTAACCTCATGGCAGAGAGAGTTTGAAGTGTGGGCACCTGAGATAAATGTGGTGGTTTACATCGGAGACCTCATGAGCAGGAACCTGGTGCGTAATCAGAAAGCAAAGGGCGTGGGTTGGGTAGAAAAGCTGGGTGCAAAGCAGCTTCTGTGTAACATGCATGAGAGACATTCTGCTGGAGAGGCTGACGGATGGTACTGGCAGTCCTGCAGGCAGCTAAAGCTGGTGACGCTGAGCACTTGGGCCTAATTCACTGCTGCAGGGACTTTTCTACCTTCTTTCCCCTCTTAGAGTGAGCAGAGCAGTACTGGCTTCTCTCAGAGATTCTAGAAACCAGTACTGCACTGGGCTGAAACATGCTGCGGTGTGGAGTTATAGCAGTGTAGAAGTGCTTGCCTCCTATGTTCTGAATTATTCAGACAACGAAGCACACAGATGTTGTGGGTCTAGTGGTGTCAATAGTGAGATGATGCATTCGTTTGGCAGACGAGAGTAATGTCACAACAGCAAGTTGGTTTGACCTTATTTTGTTACCTATGCAAGGGCAGTTTGAACTATGTGTGCACTAAAACAAGCTGCTCCTTGGGCATCCTGAGCTTATCAAATGGCACCTTGAACAACAGGGCTTTGGACTTGTTTGGAGTCTCTGGCTATAGCTACACTAAAATAATGAGTGTTAATTCTTTCCTTTCGATAACTTTAGTTAAAATTTGTCTCCCCACAGATACGTGAATATGAGTGGATCCACTCTCAGTCCAAAAGGTTGAAATTCAATGCACTTATCACAACATATGAGATCCTCCTCAAGGATAAGGTGAGTAATGGTCCGAGGATGTTTTTATTTAGACTGTCTCTCACTTGCATAGGGGAAGCCAGCCCCCGACTATTTGGTTTCACCTCTTCCCTCTGTGGTGATGGAGAACGTATAGCTACTATTTGCTGTTGCTTGCCAGTAATGCAGAGGGAATGTGGGACACCGGTTAGAGTGTCTTCACTCTTGTACTGCACAGCTGTGTTATTCTTTTTACTTGTAAGACACCAGGCAGGGCAGTAGCCAGATTTTACCTGTTTTAATTTAGGCTAGTTGAGGACAAAACATTACACTGAGCTACTGGCCACCATGTTAATAATATCTGGATTTTTATACTTAGGAGAAATCTGTCTGCTTAGGAGGTGCTCGTCAGCCCTATTAGTGCATTATTGAGTCCTCGCAGAAAACAAAAAGTTTAATACTAATGCAAAAAAAAAAAAAAAAAAAAAAAATCAAAACTCTCAGGTTACCTTAACTTTATAGGCTTGTTCATCTGCTCTCCTGCTGCTGCTTCAGTGGGGCTAGTGCTACAGCAGGGCCCCAGGGGCATGGAGAAAGGGAGGAGCAGGGGGCTGGGAGAGGACTCTGCTTTCTGGTTAAAGCAAAGGTGGATTACAATAGGTTTACTTGCTGAAAGAAATTTCAGATGTGGCAGGAGAGCTATACAGCATGGGTAATTTTCAACTTTCCTTTCTGGGGAGGCAAAACTAGTTTAGGCATTGTAGTTCCAAGATTTTGTTAACAAGAAACTCCTGTGAATCCAACTCACTTGATGGTGGGTTGAACACTGGGGCAGGACATTCTGGAAAGCACACACTTGGGGTGCTTTCTGGCCACGGAGAGAGAGGCATGTGCAAGGTGGTGGGGCTTGTCTGACCCAGTGTCTCCTTGGCGCCTGTTTATTTATTTTCTTCTTTTCCTCCAGGCTGTTTTGGGAAGTATTAACTGGGCCTTTCTAGGCGTGGATGAAGCCCATCGGTTGAAAAATGACGACTCTTTGCTGTACAAAACATTGATTGATTTCAAGTCCAACCACAGACTGCTGATCACTGGCACCCCACTTCAAAATTCCCTCAAAGAGCTCTGGTCCCTGCTGCATTTCATCATGCCGGAGAAGTAAGTCTCCTTTTGGTCCTTCAAAAAATATCTCTGTGTCCATTCTTGTCTGTGAAATAGAGTCAAGGGAGTTCAGAATGGCAGAAATCCCAAATTAAACTCAGTGGAGTTAGAGCAATGAAAGAGGAGCAAACACTGGTGGGGAAAATCAGAGGTTAAGTGACTAACACAAGTATTTCTGGCAGCAAATTGAATGGGGAAACCCAATACATGTCTTTCAAATCTGTCTGCTGTCTTAGAGCTGTCTCTAAAAAGCTAAACTTGTTTTAAGCAATCATCTCAACCATTTCTGAGGTTTCCAGTACATTGTGGTTCAGCCACCCTCGCCAACCATTTTATGGCAATCTCTAGGAGTATTGCTCAAGGACAGTGCTGTCTAGCCAACTGTTCGTGTGTCCACATTATCACAAATGTTTTGTTTTCTTTAAAACAAAATGGGCTAAGACAAGTAAGCCCCAAAATTCACCAAAATTATGTTTGACTGCAAAAAGAGCTGTCCCCAAATTTTTTTTCCTGGATCACAGAAGGAGCCAAGGGAAGATTTGAGGTCTCCCAAGCAGAGGAGAAAAGCAGATCTCTGCATTTCAAATGAGCTGTTGGAGAAAGCAGCTATCGAAAAAAGCTTTCAGAGCAGTGTGAAACATAGTCCAGTTGTCAAAGCTCTGCCTAGGGGAGGGCACTGTGGACAGCTCAGAAACTGCTGCCAGGTAAATGCCAGCAGGAGACAGCAGAGCAGAATACTGGAAAACCTGGAATTTTGGGTCCTGGGAGTCAGTGTGGAGCTCAAAGATAAGATGTGAGGAAGGCACCTAAGCCTAGAGAGCTTCTAGCTTTACCAACAGTCTGTTCAGTTAGCCAGAGCAGAGTGAACCTTTTATCCTCCATTGAATCTCCATCAAATTGATGATGTGTCGTGTGCAGCGGGAGCATAACTGGTAGATGATGTTTGGTACGATAAGACAAGAGGTATTCTGACCCCTCTCTGCTCCTCGTTTCTGTTGATAGATTTGAGTTCTGGGAGGATTTTGAAGAGGATCATGGAAAAGGTAGAGAGAATGGCTACCAGAGCCTTCACAAAGTCCTGGAGCCGTTTCTCCTGCGCAGAGTGAAGAAGGACGTGGAGAAATCTTTGCCAGCCAAAGTGGAGCAGATCCTCCGTGTGGAAATGTCTGCTTTGCAGAAACAGTATTACAAGTGAGCAATTTAATAAGTTACTGGGAATTCCGGTAGAAACGAGCACATCTTTCGATGTGCCTTGGGAATATGTTTCAGTATACTTTGTTCTTCAGAATGCAGTGTGACAGCCATCTCCTGTAGCAACAGGGGCTTCACAGTAGGAATCTGAGGTAGAGCTGTGTGGTATCTTTTCCTCTGTAGTAGTCTGGAGGTGCCTTTTTAGTGTGATACAGTTCAGCTGGCCAGTTTTGCAGGACAGGGGCAATGTGGGTTTTTTGCGGGGGGAGTAAAGCACCCCACAAAATTTTCATGCTGTTTAATGTTAAACTGTAGTAATATCAAAGGAAAGTAAGATCAGGGTTTCTAGTGAGGAAACAGCAGCATCCTGTAGAAGTAGTGAAGAGAGATAGAAGGAGGGGACTAGACTGATGCCTGAACAAAATGTCCCTGAAGGTTTTATTCCTCCCAGGTTCCAGCATGCCCAGTGAAATGATCTGGACTTTTTGTTTTCCTGCCTGCAGGTGGATTTTGACAAGAAACTACAAAGCTCTATCAAAGGGAACAAGGGGGAGCACATCTGGTTTCCTGAACATTGTAATGGAGTTGAAAAAGTGCTGCAACCATTGCTACCTTATCAAACCTCCTGAGGAAAACGAGAGAGAGAATGGCCTTGAGACCCTGCAGGTGGGCAGTGTCTTTGGTTACCACCTTTTTTCCTTAACTTTCTTCTTTCTTCTGGCCTCCCACCAAGATAAGATCTGGTGAAGCTTTAGCTTCTGCAGCTTCTTCATTAGAAATAGTCCTCACAGCTAAACCACTTGAATCTCCAGCCTTCTGCTTCCACTGTAGGCAATGTTTTGTGGCCATCTAGAGTGGGAGTTGCATGCAACATAAAATCTATCTTGGATGATTAATTTTGTATGTGGTCTCTGCTGTGTAAATCCAAATGATTTGATTAGAGATGTACAGGAGAAGCATGACCCCAAAAGAACCAGATCTCTGCATATCTCTCTGTAATGTACATAAGGGTAAGGTTGGAGAGCATCAGCTGCAATGACGGTTACTTCTTCAGTCTCTGATCAGGAGCAGTGGAAAGCTAATTCTCTTGGACAAGCTACTGACCAGGCTGCGGGAGAGAGGCAACAGAGTGCTGATCTTCTCCCAGATGGTGAGGATGCTGGACATCTTGGCAGAGTACCTGACTATCAAACACTACCCTTTTCAGGTGAGAAACATCAGCATGGAAGCCAGTGGGGTTCACTTGAAAAGTCAAGAAAATGCAGAGGGAGCCTGGGCAATGGGAGTCACTGAGTCTTCCAGAGGCTGGTGGCTGGGATTACAGGTTGCAGTCGCTGAAATACACTGAGGGAACTGGGAAGTCCCTTCATTTCAGTGTGGCCCCATCTTTGCAAAACGCCACCTCTGACAGGCCCCTGCTTTGGCCTTCGTCCTGTGATAAACCCAGAGAAGAGGATAGCAAACGCAGAGACCCTGGCTGGGAGCCTGTAATGGGAGCTGCAGTGTCACCTGCTGTGTGACTGTTGCCTGAGCATACCCCACCTCTTGCCCTCGCGACACAGCGGGCTAAGGCAGTGCAGTTATTTTTAATTGGCGGTTATTTTTAATGATTAAATGCTTCAGGCAGGGAAAGGGGGCTGTAGGGCTCCCAGAACTTGGGTGCAGCAGTTCCTCAGGGCTCCTTTACCTTCTTTCTTTTATCATTATTGTTGATTTTTCCAGCGCTTGGACGGCTCGATCAAAGGGGAGATCCGAAAGCAGGCGCTGGACCACTTCAACGCTGACGGCTCTGAGGTACCACAGTTGGGGCTGTCCTACCTCAGGAGGGTCTGGGTGGGCTGCCCACATGGCAGGTGTTTATGGCTGAGCTGTGGGTTGTGACTGCTAAGAGGGGCTTAATTCAGTTCATTTCTTTTTATGGGACCCCAGATGCTTTTAAAGACACAGATATAGCAGGTTTTGCAACCAGCCATATTGCTTATTTTAAATCTCCCACATCCAAAGAACAGGGCTGCACGTCACATCTCCAGAAAGTCCCTAAGAGGCTGGGAAGAGACAGAATTTAACAATTCTCTCCCCATCGTCTGGGGAATGAGATGATTGCTAAATGATTGCTCCAGTCTGAAGCTGGTTTTGGATATGAAATGGCAGAGGCAAAAGGGGGATTTTAAATGTTGGAAGGCAGTGGAAGCTTGTGTTGGAGGTGAAAGTCTCCAGTGTAATAGAAGAGGGCATTTCAAGCCTCTTGTCTAGGCTTGCTGACTCACAGTGACTGGTGCAAGGCACTTGTTTTGTGCCACAGTCAGCCCCGCCGTGAGAAATACCTTTCATCACTCCAGAAGTCTGGACTGGAGGGGGATTCTTGGCTGCCACAGGAAATACAGCTAGATACTTCATGGTTGTGGGAAAGGTAACAAACAGAAGTGAGGAGGAGACAGCAGTGCAGGTAGGAAAGGAGCAGGGATGCCCACAGAATCTGCCATTTCCCTTCTCCTGTGAGCATCCATGGGGGCTTAGGCATCCTGGCTCTAACCTGGCACCCTGTGCCCTTGGGCAGTGACTCAAACAGTCTGTGTTAGGAGCTGATCTCACCCCCAGTGGGCTTCAGGCAACAAAAAGCACATGTTTGCCTGCTGCCTTTGTAGGAGTCTGGTGGGCAGCGTGGTCTGACCTTCAAAAGTGACTCCAAGGTACTCTTGCCCCGAGCTGTTTGCGTTGCTCTCCCATAATGATGCATGCTGAGCCCTTCCTGGAACTCTTCTCCCTGCCAGCACCACCTCACTTGTGCTTTGACTTAAAGACCACTGATACTTAGCCTGCGTGAGCGGGGTGTGTGGGAAGAAATCTTTTCTCTGCTTTTTTAAGATGGAGTGCAACAGAGCCCTCCCTCAGTTTCCTTGCATAGCTTTGAAGTCACCATTGCTATTTTATGTCCACAGCTACAGGCTGGCTAACTCCTGGATGCTTTTTTCTTTCCCCCAGGACTTCTGTTTCTTGTTGTCAACACGAGCTGGAGGGCTGGGAATTAATTTGGCCTCTGCTGATACTGTTGTTATCTTTGACTCGGACTGGAACCCCCAAAATGATCTTCAGGCTCAGGCTCGGGCTCACCGGATTGGACAAAAGAAGCAGGTCAGAAGAGTTACCTGGGTCGTTTTTCTCTGTGGCTTCAGTGTGTGCATCTAAACAGGCTCCCACCTCAGCAGAGCTTCTGAAAACACAGTCTTTCTGCCCCCAGTCCTGACTCCAGAGAGTACTGCCAACCCAAGGGAAGCTCATTTAAAAGCCAGAAAACAAAAAATCAGCCCAGATTTGCCAGATGCCAGGTCTTTCTGTTGGCTTTGGGTTATGGGGTGGTTTAAAACCAAGAAAACCGGTGGCATTGCGCTTCTCGGCCTGGTGGACTCTGTTCTTTCTTGTCCTGAAAATCTTAAAAGCAGAACATCTACCTTTACTAGGGTTTTATTAGATATATGAAAAGTTTGATGCTAGTTTGGATTTAGAGTGACTGTTTCAGAAGATTTTTACTATGTGCTTAGACATACAAGATCTGTGTTAACCAGCCTGATATTAACTGATCCCCCTGAGATATAAAAGAATGTGCATGTGTCTATTCTAAAAAGACACCTCTGTGCATGAAGGGACCATATCAGCAGACTAGTTTCCTGTGAAACAACTGAGTGATGCATCGATGTGTCAGCAGAGCATGTTCAGGTCCAGGAAATAGCTCTGTTCTTTTTTTACGTTTCAGGTGAATATTTACCGCCTGGTCACAAAGGGTACGGTGGAGGAGGAGATCATTGAGAGGGCCAAGAAGAAAATGGTGCTGGATCATTTGGTAATCCAGCGTATGGACACCACTGGCCGGACTGTTCTGGACAACAACTCTGGGCGATCCAAGTAAGTGATTGTGTCAGGAGGCAGAAATGTCTGGTACAGTATGTGGCATAACCAGCTTCACCTGCTGGTAATTACCAATATTTATTTGATAGGGTAGAAGGCCAGAAGGCTAGTAAATAATGGCAGCTTCCACTGACATGGCTTATGCAACCATTAATTTGGACATTTAAGATAAAGATGATCAGAAATAAAAAACTAATTTTAATGCATTACTTGGTTTTCCTTCTGTCTTCCTCCCAGAGATCATCCTGGTTTGAGGGAACCTGGTGGTGGAACAGCTGCAATTTGTCAGTGACCTCAGACTCTCCCCATTTCCCCTCCCAAGTAGATGGAGGTTGCTCCCTTTACAGTAGTTGTCTGTGCTAGAGCAGGAAAGATATCAATAAAAAAAACTTTTTTATAGTGCTGGGTAGAAAACTTACTCCTTACTTTAATTAGGAAAAAACTTTGGTATGGTTTTGTGCTGTAGCAGTGCTAACTTAACAGCTCAAAACACATACTCCTTCTCGTTTCTTCTTGCAGCTCAAACCCTTTCAACAAAGAGGAGCTGACAGCTATTCTGAAGTTTGGAGCCGAAGATCTTTTCAAGGAGCTTGAAGGGGAAGAGTCAGAGCCTCAGGTAGTTGGAAATCACATAGCTCTTTGTAGTCCTCCGCATGGGGGGATTGTGTGTGTTTGCTCCCTCTTTGTACTTGCCCTCTGCATGAGAGCAGGTCAGTGAATAGGGCACATGTGAGTCCAGAGAAGCTGAAGGAAGAGAGCTCTGGGGTTGGGGGATCAGGGGGTTGAGGAGAGCCTTGTTGTTGGGGGTTAAATAATAACGGTCACCAAGATAGTCTCTTGGCTCCTGAGGACTCATTAGTTCATTACAGCACAGCCTGCTGAAAGCTCCTCTCTCTGCCTCATCTGAGCACTTCATCAGCATCCTTTTTTGGTTGTTCTTGTGGAGAGGCAGGAGTCAGCACAGTGAAGTCAAATATGTCGCCGTCTCCTGCCTCAGCACAGCGTTGCTTGACAGTTTAGTATCAAGTGCTTTGACCAGTTCTCTTGATGGGCCTCAGTAGCAGAGCTTCCCCCAAGGGAAACAGTCCACAGTTAATACATCTCACTGTCTGGAAATTTTCCCTGCTGCTCAGCCTTGATGCTCCTTTTCTTCTAGCCTGTCACCTTTATTTATACTCTTTTGTACCACTTGACATAATTCATCCCTGCCCTTGGTGATGACACCCCGCAGATATTTGCACTTTATTTAGCTATTATTAGCTACATGTTTAGCTATTGCACCCACAAGTCTGTTCTCAAAACCTTTTATTTCCTGCTGTGCTCGGCACCCTCCGCTTTACCACTTCTTTCTGACTAACTTTACCACTTCTTTCTGACTAACTTTACCACTTCTTTCTGACTGGTAGGAGATGGACATTGATGAGATTTTGCGTCTGGCTGAAACACGAGAGAATGAAGTGTCCACCAGTGCCACCGATGAGCTCCTCTCCCAGTTCAAGGTATGGACCCCCTGGCTCTGCAGTGGGGTGCGGGAATGTGGCTCTCCACATCTTGCTACGGTGGTAAAGTCAATAACAGGCAGGACAAATCAAAACTGGTGAGAGGTGACCCGTACAAAGCAGTTTGCTGAGGGGTTGCCTGGGTGTGGTACTGGGGACATACATAGGTATTAAATTAATTTCAAATAAATGGTTTTGAAGGCTGTGAATAAAATGCAGAATTTACCAAATTTGGAAACAAAAACGATAACTTACAGAGGCTCAGCAGTACTACTTAAACTGCACGTACTTCCTCAAAAGCTGTTAGCCCAAAGACATGGCAAGGAACCAGGAATGCAGTGGCATAGGGATCAATTTATAAAGTAGTTATGGAAATGCTGGCAAAATTCCTGTGAGGAAGGAGTTGAGGCTTAGCAGACAGCTCTGAGGTATTCCTGCCAGAGAAGGGGATTTATAAAAGTGTTTCTTTGCTTATAAAAGGTGGCCAACTTTGCAACCATGGAGGAGGAAGAGACAGAGCTGGATGAGCGGTCCCAGAAGGACTGGGATGATATCATTCCAGAGGAGCAGAGGAAAAAGGTGGAGGAGGAAGAAAGACAGAAAGAATTGGAGGAAATCTACATGCTGCCTCGTATCCGGAGCTCAACTAAAAAGGTACAGCCCATCTCGAGGACCTGAGAGACAGGAGGCAAGAGCTGGCAAAGGGAAGCCTTCTTGCCATCCGAGTGCTTCTTTTCCTCCTCCAAAGTTGGGGTAAAGCGCGGAAGTAGCACACTGTCCTCTTGTTGGCATCATGCATTGGGCCCATGGTTTGTAACGCAGTGTGAGGGCCCATACGGGGTTTGGTATAGCTCATCTCGTCTTAGCAGACAAAATAAAGAGAACCCGTAGTAAGTACAGGGCAAAATATCCGACTGTATAATGCAGATTTTTCTGCGGTTTGTGTCGTTTTCTGGCTGTTTCTCTTCCTTGGGCTTTCTAGCTCCCTGGGCTGCTGTTGCTTAAATGTGGCTCTTGCAGGCAAAAAGGATGGTGTCTTCCCAAGTTCTTTTTTAGGTGATGGGATCTACACCAATCCAACGGAACGCTGAAGCTGCAAGGAAGCTCTGCTGGGATATGGGACTTTAAGGGGTTATGAGCTCTCCTCTGGGATGAGCTGGGGAAAAACATTAAAGTGAAAACTAGAGAGAAGGATAATTCATATTGGATGATTCCAGATTAATTTCTGAAGTGTCCTGGTTTTCAAAACAGCCTAAGGGACTGTGGCACAAAACTACAGTAATTAAGATGTTTTAATGTATCTTATACCTTAGTAAATCAAAATGCAGTTGTGAAACTGCTGGCTAGAAGGCTCTAAAGGGAGAATGACCATCAGAGCCTTAGCTAGCTGGAAACTGCAAGGATGTGCAGCCTCTCTGGGTTGATTACATAGGCTTCTGCATCTTCAGGAAGATACGCCAAAATGTTTTACAGTCTGAATGTGAAATAGTGCTACTGCATGGGAGGGACAGAAAAGGTTGGCAGATTAGCGGTTGTTAACTGTACTGTTTTTTTGTCTTGTGTCTACAGGCTCAGACAAATGACAGTGAATCAGATGCAGAAACTAAGAGAAGGCTTCAGAGATCATCCGGATCAGAAAGTGAGACTGATGATACTGATGACGAGAAGAGACCAAAGCGCAGGGGGCGTCCTCGGAGTGTTAGAAAAGATACTGTGGAAGGATTTACTGATGCTGAAATCAGAAGGTCAGTGCTGAGCACAAGATATAGTTCAGAAAACAAGTATAGAAATCCATGCAGAAGGAAAAAATCCCAGATTAATCCAGGAGGTGTTCACCTGTGAGCACGTCAGTGGCTTAGGTGGAGCTGGTTTGTTGGGCCAGCTTCTATATCTTTATATGCATCAGTTTGCTTGCAGATGATGACCCTTACATTCAGGTCTGTGCAAAATGGACTGGATTGTCTTTAGTCAGGCTGCAGTGAAGCTGGTACCTTCCTAAAATTAATTCTTGTTGTAACTACCCTTCCTGGGCCAAGTGAGTTGAGCTAATTCCATACTACACGTGAGGTCTTAAGTACTATGAGATACAGAGCTGGAGAAGCCAAGGACTCTGGCCTTCCTGACATTCTTCTGGCAGTAGTCCTGCTGACTTAAGCTTTAAGTGAAAGGCAAGTTCTGGAAAAATAACCCCATGAGAAGTACTGGTCCTCTTGATCCCAGCAGTTCTGTATCCTCTTCTGCACTGTGTCCCTGAAGTCAGCTGGGGGCTGAATTCCAGAGTATTATTTTCTTCTCATATCTTCTGACTCTTGAGCCTTTCCCAAAGATCTTTGTTTTATGGCTCTGACCAGATGTTCAGCCAAAGATGGAAAAGAAGGGGGCTGTGAGTTTTCCTTGACTCTCTCTCTGTCTCTGAGTTGATATATCTTGAAACAGGAGATGGTCAGACTTTTTGGATTGTGGTAGCTGCCCCATATCCAGCTCTGAAACCATAGAGAAGGAAGGAGGTGTTGCAATGTGAACTATAGCAGCCATTTAGGTTATTGTGATGTAGCAGAAAGAGGCTGAAAGAACACAAGATGAAAAAAAGAAGGGACAAAAAGAACTCATTTTAAAAACAATCTGTAGTTGAAGCCATTGGGTCTGCTCCCAGCACAAGGCACTGCTCAATTGCAGCAATGGGTGTCTGACTCTTGCCCTAAAGTTGTTTGTTAACCATGGCAGTGATTTTCACAATAAAAATAAGACATAAAAATAAATAGCAATCCTTGTTTGCAGACCTCTGTGATGGATTGCACCACATTTGGCTTTTCTGTGATGGGTCGTTACACTTACAGCCTGAGTGTTAAAATTACTGATGACATTGATTTAATGCCTCTCTTCTCCTTGCAAAAATGAAGTTAATAATTACCAACATGGTGTAAGCCAATGCTTTCTTTCAATTTTTTTTACACTACAGTTATGACTGTCCTCTTTCTTTTTTCCCCTCATTTGTCAAACATCCAACATTCATAATAACGTTGTGTTCTTCTCCAGCCAAGGTCACAAAACTCTTTGTGGGGGGGTTAATGGATTAGGCTTCCCAGTCCTAAGTGATGCTTAGCTAATCGGTGCAGAATGCAAGGCTGATAGCGTGGCAAGCTGTAATTAATATATTCAAGTGTATTTGTGATATTAGACCCACTTTTTATGGCAGTTGGTTTAGTTTCTTTTTTTTTGTTGTGTTCTGGTTTTTTTGCTTAGGTTTATCAAGGCTTACAAGAAGTTTGGACTGCCTCTTGAACGGTAAGTCCCAACCTGGCGCTGCCCCAGAGAGTTATCATGGGGGGACGTTGTGTTTTTAAGTACAGCTGTATACACATTGCTATGGATGTTTAATACAACCTCCGCGGACAGCACAAAGCCTCGCTGTCGTGCGATCAGTAATCCAAGCACTGCCATACCGTCCCTCGTGTCTCAGTTGATGGGCACTGATGAATGCTGGCCAAAAAGCAGCTAGAGCAGTAGTGGCACCGGGCTGTACACAGCATCATCCTGCTGGCAGAGTCTGGCCCTTGGGGCATTTCCACTCTGCTGAGAAAGGAGAGGAAGCGGCTGTCTGAACAGCAAATGCTACACAAAACACTTGCCAAGCTTCTCTACGCATATTAGTTTCAAGACTGAATTCAGAGCATCTTCCTCTATCATATCCCTGTAGAAGGGAAGTAGAGAGAAGCACACGCTGTGCTCGCGCGTGGGTCTGCAGAGCCCTGCACGAGTGCTGTGCCCCAGCGTAAGTGAAGGGAGGAAGGGAGATGGGCACATGTGCTGGGTCTGGAAAGCTGTAGCCCTTGCTGAGGCCTCAGAGCCGAGGCAGAGATCCCTGCATATATTGTATGAGCAATGACTGTGTTTTTTTCAGCTGGTTGTACTCTTCTGTTGTGAAACACAAGGGTTGCTTATGGGCCTTGATGTTAGTAACTTCAGCCAGACAAAAGGGACAGCAGATGGCAGCTTTTGACCATCAAATGGAGTTAATATGGAACTGGAAGGTCTTGAAGAAACACTGGACAGTCACAGAGGGTGCCTGTTGTGCCCAAGATAGACAGTTCTCACCTTTTGCTTTAATACTAAAAAATCAAAAAGCCTGGATCAGTTCTACTACATCTGCACTGTACTGCAGTTGTTAGACCTAAAAAAAGACTAAAACTCCACTCATGCAGGTTTCATACATTCATACATGTACAGCGTTGACTACTAAAAGCTATGAAACAATTGCTCAGGAAGTGACTGGGAGGAGATATGTTGTATCAAATACGAACCTTGCAATACTTTTTTCCCCTTTCCCAGGCTGGAGTGTATTGCCCGGGATGCTGAGCTGGTGGATAAGTCTGTAGCTGATCTGAAACGGTTAGGGGAACTCATCCACAATAGCTGTGTCTCAGCAATGCAAGAATATGAGGAGCAACTGAAAGAAAATCCAGGTGAAGGTAAGCAAGAGGGTTGTGTGCTGTTGTTACAGTGCTTTTAGAGCAGGTGAGAAAACCATTCCCTTGCTGGATGGGAAGGCATGCCACATTGCAACTTAAAGGCAAAGAACAAGCACATGCTTAAACCATACTGTCTCTGCCAGGCATCTCTCACCAACAGAGAGAAACCCCTGACTCTTCTGCTCAGCCTGGAAAGTGCTATTTGGGTCTGTTGGCTTCTGCTGAACATAAGTTTTCCTGGGGAGAGGCTAAAGTCATCAGCTTGTTTAATGCTGGGCCACAAGGCAAAGCAGATTGTATTTTAACTGCTCCTGGGATTGGGAGTCAAACTGCTGCTGTGTACTCCATGGTAAAGCTGGATGCATAATTAGTACTCCCTGGAGCTGTTGACATCAGCCACTCTGTATGGCTGTTCTATGCTGTTGGTTTGGAGGTACAGGGGTCTGGGCTGAATTTCCCATTGATGTCTGCCTGTTGCAGCTGAACATAACTACTGAAGCAACAGCTCCAGCGTACTTGGAAGTATTTTTAAGAAAATGATACTGGGTGGTATGATACTGGATTGCAGATCGAAATGAGTTAGTGGAAGATAACTTATTTTTGGGGCCTGCCTTAGTAGACAGCCTTATGTTTAAATGAAAGGTTGCAGGCAAGGTGTTGGTCTTTGTGTGTCTAGACTTTTTTTTTTACAGAAGCACTTCTTTCTGTAAGAGTTCTCTTAGTTGCTGTGTCTTATTGTTGAGCAGGGAAAGGACCTGGAAAAAGAAGAGGTCCTACTATCAAGATTTCTGGTGTCCAAGTCAATGTGAAATCCATCATCCAACATGAAGAGGAGTTTGAAATGCTGCATAAATCCATTCCCACGGACCCAGAGGAAAGGAAGAAGTGAGTTTGGCTAAGTAGGCAATGCAGAAAGAGGTGCAGGGAATTTGAATTTTGTAGTGGAAAGAGAATAGCCTAGATATTTATTATTATTTAGTGGATTTGCTTTACCTCCCGCAGCATTAAAAGTAGCTCATGTTTGAAATGCCTTCAGGTACCGCCTGACGTGCCGTGTCAAAGCTGCCCATTTTGATGTAGACTGGGGAGTGGAGGAGGATTCTCGCTTGTTAGTGGGCATTTACGAGCATGGTTATGGAAACTGGGAGCTAATTAAAACGGATCCGGAATTGAAGTTATCTGATAAGGTAGGTCGCTTTGCTTCTTGCTTGCATTGGGTCCACTGCAGTGTTCATAGAGAACATGTTTGATTTACTCCAGAAACAGATGTTTACATTTGTAACTGCTCCAAAAATAATAATAAATAATAATGAGGAAAACAGTGACCTCCATGGAATGTTGCATGCTTGATGGAAAGCAGAGTTGTGTTATTTGATTGGCAGTAAATTTTCTCTGAATAGTACCATATGAACCACACTGAAATGATGCAGGAAGAAAATGATAATGCTGACATATGTGGTTACATGCACAGTATAGAGAGTGCATTGCATAATCGTGACTTGATATTTCCTTGAGCATCTCACAAGAAGCTGAGTCTGAATTTCTGTGTGGAAATAATTTTTCACAGATTTGACACTGCTTATGTCAAGACTGGTCTGTGTTAGCTTTGAGGGTATAGTTACATGACTGGCTATGGCAGCAAAGCCAGCTGGAAAACCTCCATCTAGTTCCTCTCTTCCTCAGTCATTCCCATAAGAACTGCTTATGGGTGACATGTTGAAATGATCCAGGTTAAAAATAAACTGCCATCCATTGTGTCAGCACAATGGAAGGAGCGTGAACTGCAACACAGAGCTGAGGAGCATCGAGACTCTACACCAGCTTTGCTGCCAATACGCTGCATTCCCATGACATCCCCACTAGTGCTTTTAGCAAAGATCAGACTGTGGCTGAGAGCCTTCCTACACGAAGTTCAGAAAGGCATTTTACAATGCAAACAATTGACTGAGACATGCCACCCACTTTCCAATGAAGTATGAAGGTAGCCATAGTTGGCAAGCTGAGATACTTCCTCCACAGAGTGGCACCTTGCAGCCTTGTTTTCTGCTAAAAATTCTGCAACTCTGTCGTTGCCCTAGCAATGTCTAGGGTTACCAAAGAGGACCAGCCTGCTGTGATAAGGCTGTCACAAACAAATCTGATATGTCAAGGAGAGAGGACTCAGTTTTGCAATGCAAGGTCACAAATACATTTTGCAAAGTTTCGGGTTTTTTTTTTCCTTTTTGCGCATTTACAAGAAAGACTGTAGAGAATCTAGAGAGCTGCCTGAGGGTCCTGTCACTTATGCAAAAGGCCAAGGGGAGGCATGCTTGCTAGGAGCTTTGCTTTTGGCTAGACAGGGAGAGTCTGTGTGGGAGTTGGAAGAAATGCTTGAACTTTCTTGTTCCCCCAGAAAGTGCAGCATCTCCAGCCCTTTGCTGGGCCTGGAAGGACTGCTGCTAGTGTGTGTATCTCTTTTGTCAAGGTTTGATAGATGTGTTTGAGTGTTGTGGTTTTTTTTTTTTTCCCCTTTATCGAAGATCCTACCTGTTGAGACAGATAAGAAACCTCAGGGAAAACAGCTCCAGACCCGAGTTGATTATCTACTGAAACTGCTGAAGAAAGATCTGGACAAGAAGGAAAACATGAAAGATGGGGAAGAGGTGAGATGTGGCTGCTTGCTTCTGGGGGTTTCACGATGAGTGGTTGGCTGATGGTGGGAGACAGCCTGTGTTTCCAGGTCACTGAAGATCATCTATGTGAAAGAATATGGACTTGTCTATTGTCTGATTGCATTGTGGTACTGAAATGATAATTAGTAAGGGACGAGTAATTAATTATTACATTTACTGAAGGACTTGGGCTCATCAGGCTTTCTGCCACCCTGCAGGACCTGCAGCTGTTTGCAGGATGTTTAGGAGGTGGGATATGTCCCCAGGAAGCAGCTGCAGCTTTTGCTTGCCCTGACTTGTTCTGTGTTTTCACCAGGGCAAGCTAAAGAAGAGGAAACCACGAGTAAAGAAAGAGAACAAGGCTCCGAAAGTCAAAGATGAGCATGGGAATGAACTCTCCCCTCCTCGGCACTCGGACAACCAGTCAGAAGAAGGTGAAGTCAAGGTGAGTCAACTTGGTGGATAGCAGTTTTCCCAGATTTCCTTGAGCTATGTTGTTACTGCAGAAACTCACCTTGAGAAGCACCCCTAGTAAATGCCCTGTGAAGTCTGGGAGCACTACAGAGTGCATTCCCACAGGAGACTGGCAAACTCACAAAAACATATATACAGCTGTTGGGGTGAAAGAAGGACCTTTCTCACTCACTCCTTTAGGTTAGTGCTTTAAGTGTTTTGGGGGGATCCTAGAATGGCCACATATATCCACATACTGACTTGGAGGAAAGGTTATCTCAGGACAAAGTCTGTTGCTCTTAGAAAGAAAGAAGAATTGTTTCCCTCTCCTTTTCAGTACGTCAGCGAGTGGTGAAGCTGGAGTTTACCAAGGTCATGCTGTTGCTTAGAAAACCTTCTGTATTTGAGTGGTTTGGCTTGTAGTCTAAGGCTTTTTGTTCATGTGCTGATCAGTATCTACCTTAGGGGCTGAGCGTTCTCGAGCACAGCTGGCATAGGAAAGCAGTGCTTACCTACAGTTTGCCAGCTAGTTACAGGTTGGGGCTCATCTATTTTTTTTATATCCTTTTGTCAAGGGTTGGGTGGATTGCAGCACAGGGCTTGCTGTCTAGTTAAAGAGGTGTGAGGGCAAATTTGGATGGACCTCAAAAATCGGCTGCATTTCAAGGATGTAAGTTTTATGGAAGAAAGTGTACGTGAGGTGAGGGACTCCAACATTGACTGTGCTGTGACTGATTTTCTAGGAGGATGGCTTGGAAAAGAGCCCAGTGAAAAAGAAACAGAAAAAGAAAGAGAACAAAGAGAACAAGGAAAAACAGACAACAACTAAGAAAGAAAAGGAAAGCGATAAAGAGAAAAAGAAGACAAAAGACAAGAAAGAGAAGGTATGTGGTACTCTCAGGAGCAGTTTAAGAGATAGGAAAGTCTCTGAGCAGAAGAGCCAGCTATGAGTCTTACAGTTTGTTAAAGGCCCTCCGTGAAGTTACATCAGTGAAGTACTGTGGGGTGAGGTATTATCCCTTTTTCAGCCCTCCTGAATTCTTATTGTGAAGAATTACAATAACAAGTAGAAAAGGGAAAATGTCCTAAAGCTTGATGGAATGTGAGCAAAAAGGAAGAGATTTTGCCTTTAAAGTACAACTGTCCCCGTGACAGCGATATGTCCAAATAGCTGGTGTTAAGGAAGAAAGGGGAAAAGAGCCTGGAGCACTCAGATCAAAGTTCTGTTCAGCTCTGATTTATCACAGGGTTGGCAGCTCCTTGTCTGTATTCCCCTCTAATTTAAACTCACCCCAAATAACCCTATTGTCCACACCATCAAGACTGTAAGTTGTCCTTGTGGCTGTTCAGGACTCGCCAGAATGAGTGTTTCAACATCAGTGGTATGTTGTGGAGTAAAATGTCCCTTGAATTTTGGATACAACTGCCTGGAGGCTGAATTCAACCTGGAAGGGGGGTAAAAGCTTCTATAATAATGACCTGAAGTACCTGTCCAAGGAACAGGTATGTACTGCATGACCAGTGTGTTTTGACACTGAGGTCATAAGTGCAAACCAAGAAGCTTTGTTGCATATATCGGAGAAAGGTTGCTTCCCAGTGATTTTTGGTATGACGTTTGACTCTAAAGAGCTTTGACTGCAGATAAGTCATATAAGTTAAAATTTACACTAACAGACCGTGATTTGAGGTTGCTTTCCAGAGGGTCTGAGGCCTAGTGATGTCAAATGAAGTTGCAGATCCTTGTAGACATGAGACTGCTCTGAGCTCTGTCTTTCAGTAACATATAGGGACATATATTCTTTGGCTTGACCTCTCTTCCAAGTCTTCAACGTTGGTTTTCTCTCCATGAGTATAAATATCATATTCACATCCAAAATGTTGGCTCTGACTTCTCTCTACTCCCTCAGGGATGACATAAAGCTAAACAGAGGCATTGCAGCTGAACAGTTTGAGATCTTGGGAGGAAAGTTGTTAGGAGCAGTGCCCGGGGTTTAACAACTGCCAGTAACAATAGTGCGGAGTTTGTTAGTTGGATCACTTGGGATCCTGCAGTCTGGCTCATCATATGATGTATGAAATTTGTCCTTGTAAAGCCTAAAGGTGGTGAAGCCAAATCTGGAAGTAAAAGGAAGAGATCGCAAGGTCCTGTCCACATTACAGCAGGGAGTGAACCGATCCCCATTGGAGAAGATGAGGACGATGATCTGGACCAAGAAACATTCAGCATAGTGAGTATTTTCCTTGGGAGATGGGAGGGCAGTGGCAGAGAGCCCAGCAAGGCAGACAGGGTTTGCTTGCATGTTATCCAAAGAAGTGTTTCAGGTCTCAGGGTGTGAGCCCCTTCACAGTGCCCCACAGTGATTTCCTCTGGGCGGTCTGAGAGCTGTATGAGAGTTGTCCACCAGCCTCTTCTGTGCCTACCAGCTGGCTGCTGTAAATGGCACTTCAACTGAAAGAAACTTCAAAGCTCTTCCAGCTCCTTATTCTCACCGAGCAACTGCACTATTAAAGGGTTCAGATAACTCTCTTCAATATTCAGCTTTGCATGAGTGCACATGTTCGTCCCCTCCCTCTGCCAAGGGTGCCAGCCAGGGCAGAAGAGGGCAGCATGTCAATAGAGCATGAAGAAGGGCTCTCTTCAGATAAGTTTGCACCACTCCTTTCACAGCCCTGGGTTACAGAAGACCCTGCAGCCTTACATGGCAGTCTCTTTCCTGTAGAAGCCAAGGAGCTGTTGGGGCTCTTCCAGGCAGGGAAATACAGGAAAGGTGTTTTGAGGGTGACCTTGTGTGACTGAAGGAGGTACGGAGTTGTCTGAGCTGTAAGCACTTCCCTAGCTGTGTAAATGCTCCTGCAGCAAACGTGCCTGCAGGGCTCATTGTAAAAACAGCCTTTTAGTAAAAGTTGTCATGACAGAATCTCCTTGGCTTGACTTGCACAGGGAAACGCTGAGATACCGCTTTTTAACAACAGTTCTCTAAATGAAAATCTGGGTATTCCCTGCTGGCCCTGTGTTATTTTTTGTCCGTTTTTTTCTTTTACTTTCCCTCTGTGATGCGTGAAAGGTCCAGTCAGGCAGTAGAAATCTTGTCTGATTTACTGTCTGTGCACAGTGTTGATGTGCACAGCCGAAAAAGATGGTGCTTTCATCTCATGTTTTCCAGTTTGGGTAAAAGCAATAGATTAAAGCAACCACAGATGGGGATGGACAGGGAGGCTATTGGGTGAGCAGTCATTCAGCTGGGGCTGTTGGTTCAGCATGTCGATGCTTGGTTACGCTTCCCTGCCTGCCGTGGGATCAGTGCAAGAGCAGACCCTGTGCAGTTATTGTTTGCAAAGCAAATTGTTCCCCTCTAAAAGGTGGGGGGCAGTGGAGATGGGAAGACTCTTGTCTTTTCTTTGTTTTCTGCAGCATGTCTAGCAAGTTGCTATTTTTGTAGATGACTTCTCCTTGCCTAATGGTCAGATAGAGCTAATACCTCATGCTAATGAACTTCTTCCAGCTCTGATTAACCGGAGAACAGTATGGAGTCCTGTGCCAAGTGAATCACTTTCTGCTCTCTATTGTTTTTTCAAGTGCAAGGAAAGGATGAGACCAGTGAAAAAAGCACTGAAGCAACTTGATAAGCCTGATAAGGGACTGACTGTTCAAGAACAGCTGGAGCACACACGCAACTGCCTCCTAAAAATTGGGGACCGCATCTCTGAGTGCCTTAAAGCCTACACTGACCAGGATCATATCAAGCTATGGAGAAGGTGAGAGGTCATTTTGCTTTCTTTGGCTGCTATATGATACTTAAAAATGGTAATCGGAGGCTGCTGGTTTTTATGTGGATGAGTGTGCCATTTGCCTCTTATTTAACATGCTTTTGAAGGAGAAATCTTGCATTCTTTAGCCCACTCAGTCCATGACCAGTCCAGAGGGTTTTGTCTGCAAGTTGTGCTAGTTTCATTTAAATTGATTTCAGAGCCACTTTAAATAAACCAGTGCAAACCCCTTTATTTTACTTCATTCCAACTCTCCTGACCATCCTGTCCTGAGCTGGATTGAGACTATTTTCCAGAGAGAATAGAACTGATTTGATGTTCCTTTGAAAAGAGATGGCAGCTAAACTGCTGATGTAGCAATTAACAGAAAATGTTCATGTCCTTCCAGGAACCTATGGATATTTGTGTCAAAGTTCACAGAATTTGATGCCAGAAAACTGCATAAACTCTACAAGATGGCTCATAAGAAAAGATCACAGGAGGAGGAGGTGAGATCTGAAGTGCCTTCCCTCCAGTTGCTCTCTTTAAAACCTGTTGCACTCAAAGTGTCAGTACTTTCTGTCTCTTACCATGGGCTTTCTTTATTGTTGTTGGCAGTCTGATTTTTCTTAACATCTAAACAGTCTGGTCACATTTGCCTCCCCTTTCATGTGGCATTTCTCCCCCCACCTAACAACACCAGGCACTTTTTCCTGGCTGTTCTGAACAAGAAAAAGCATTGCTTGGTGTGGCACATTGTGTTGAGTTGACCATTAGAGTGAAAAGCCTGGGAGTGCTGCTCTGTAGGTATGGGATGTAGAAGCAGAGCTGTGTGGGGCAAAACTCTGCCTGTCCTCCATCACATTTGTACCATTGCTATTCATACCATGCTTGGGCACAGTTGGTTCACCAAGTGCTCAAAGAGGTGGGGTGGGGTGGCCCACAGCATGGGGAGTCTGCAAAAAAATCCAGAGCCTGACAGACAAGGCTGTTGCTTACATAGTCTGAATTTTTTGGTGGACGAGTAGTTGAGCTCTAACCCTCTTCTACCTTGCAGGAGCAGAAGAAGAAGGAGGACATGTCCAGCATGAAGAAACCATTCCGCCCAGAGCCTTCAGGCTCCAGCCGCGATTCTGTGATGTCCCAGTCTCACGTGCCTCACAATCCTCATTCCCAGAAGATCCACCTGCCCCCTTCGCATGCCCAGCAGCAGATGCACGGGCACCCGCGTGACAACTATGGCCATCCAAACAAGAGACATTTCAGCAACACAGGTGAGTGCTGGCAAGCCAGGAGAAATCATGCCTTCTAACCTAATGGCTGTTTGGTCTTGGACACAAATCCTTCTGGAACTTGTGGCTGGTCAGGTTTAAAGGTGATGGGATGGAACACATATCATCACTGTACTTAGTGCTGGTCTGGAAAACATGATGATGTAGTGATGAAAAGAGTATAAGAACAGGACAGAATAATATTTGCTAGAATAACAGTAAAGAAATTCAAAGAATAAAATTGGGCCCACATAGTTTAGGGAGGAGAAAGTTAAACAGGCACAGCAATAGTTATCATTTCTTTGAGAATTCAGCAGAGTAACAGGCTTAAACTAAAGTGTGGAAGATACTTACTGGTGCTTTCTTCATTGCAGACCGAGGAGAATGGCAGAGGGATCGCAAGTTCAACTATGGTGGCAACAGCAACCAGATGTGGGGTGGGGAGCGGCATCACCAGTATGAGCAGCACTGGTACAAGGACCACCACTATGGGGATCGGCGATCTCGTGGAGAGCCCCACCGGAGCTCTGGGAACTACAGACCAAATAACCTCTCCCGCAAGAGGCCATATGAACAGTACAACAGTGACCGAGACCACAGAGGCCACCGAGATTATTATGACAGGTAATTCTCTTTCATCTCAGGAATGCTGGGAGGAGTTTGCAGTGATGCACCCGGCTGTGGTGGCCAGGCTTTCCTTGGGGAATCAATCTCCATCCATTCATTTTCTCTCTGCAGGCACCACCACGATTCCAAGCGTCGACGATCCGATGAGTTCAGGCCCCAGAACTACCACCAGCAGGATTTCCGACGGATGTCTGATCACAGGCCGCCCATGGGATACCATGGCCAAGGACCTTCGGACCACTACCGGTCCTTCCACACAGACAAATCGGGAGACTACAAACAGCCTCTCCCTCCACCTCACCCTGCAGTGTCGGACCCTCGCTCACCCCCCTCTCAGAAATCCCCCCATGATTCCAAGTCACCTCTTGATCACAGGTCACCTCTGGATAGGTCATTAGAACAGAAAAACAATCCAGATTATAACTGGAACATTCGGAAAGCATAAAGTGACTGAGGAGGGGAAAGCGCACGTCTGAAATACTTGGTTTGATGCAACAACAGCTGGTTTCTCCAAGCCAGCAACCAGAAACTTTGAACATGCTGCTATCATCTTGCTGAGTCAAGGAGGATTTTGGAGGAGCAGGTGGAGGAAGATTTCCCCTAGCGTTCGGTTCTGTTTTGTTTGGATTCCTGTTTGCTTTCCCCTCTTCTACCAGTGAATGCTGGAACCAGTTTTGCTGCCTCGTTCTTTGTGGTGTTTTTGTTTTCTCCATTCCAATGGACCCAAGGGAATTTTACCCAGCCAGTGTTTCCCCAAACCGAGAAGGCGGATCGATGCTGCTTAGGATTGTGCAGCAGGCTGTGAGCCTGCTCTGACTTGATGTTATGTGACAGATGCTGCTTTGGGATTGGGGATAAACTGGTTGGGCTGGGCTTTGTGTGTAACCAACATAGGGCAATGGGAGGATATTCAAGGAGGGACAAGAGAGTCTCTCAGCAGCCAAGCTTGGTTGAAAGAGGGACTCAGCGTTCCTGCAGAGTGATTCCAAAGGAGTTGGAGCCATGCTGGTGACAATCCATCGCTTTTCTGGCCACATTATCATTTCTCATGTCTTTATCCATTTCAAGAAACTGGCTCTGCTTTGAGTTGCCATTGTGTCCCCTACAACAGAAGAGGTGTGGGGCATCCTCCTCCCACCTCAGGTCCAGGACTGGCAAATCTTGACTCTGGGGGTGCTTTGGGACATGTGGGGAAAAAAAAAACCCAAAACCACACTTGCTTAGCAAAGGCTCAGTTCACTTCTAACAAGTAGGAAAGAAGTTGGGGTGAGAACAGTATTTCCCGGTGGACAGGGCTCAGGAATTCATAAAAACCTCCTTTTCTCTTGACATGGACAGCTTGGATGGTCCAGGAACCAATAGAGATGCTGACTGGGAAGTGCAAGGTCAAAAGACAGCTCTGGGCATCTGGGGATCCTGAAGCTTCTACTCTCCCTGTCACAGAAGTGCTCTAGTCTTTGGGCAAGTTCTTTCTCTCTGCGCTTCACAAAACAGTGATCACAAACCTTTACTGCAACCAAAGGATAAGGGATGGTAGAGCAGAGTTAAATAGGAATCCAATGGACTGATCTCTGTTCAGCAAACGGGCACCTTCCCGCCACCGTCCCAGCAGTCAGCAGTAACTCCAAATTGCTAAAAGTACCTGCACTGAACAACCTTCTGCCTGTCCAAATTGGAAACTTGCCTGGAGACTTAGCACCTAAGTGAGCAGGGAGAGAACAAGGAATTCAGGACTCTGTCCTTAAAAAATTCTTGGAGCAAATGTCTTAAGAGCCCAGCGTGGCAGAGGGAAAAGAGGAGTCTGCAGCCCAGCTCAGTGGACTTCAGAGCAAACACTCCTCCAAGTATTTGAGCCACAGCGTATGATGCAGAACTGCGTCCAGTCTCGAGACTGTGGTGTGGTGAGAGGGATTGCGCACAGATTGCTGGCCAGAAGTAGCTTGGGTGGTTATTTTTCAGCTCCTCAGTCTTGGTTTGTAGAGTCACATCCCTGGAGACCACAGAGCTCTCCCAGCAGCTGGGCTGCCCAGAGTGTGGTGTCCGGGGATGCGTCATCTCCCTCAGCTCAGTATTAAAGACCAGGCTGTTCCAGACACCTCTTTTTGGTGGGGGACAGAAGCTGGGCCTCCTGTTAAGATGCCAGTGTCTGACCCTAATAAGCTGTGATGTCCTTTCCCCGAAAGGCTGAAGGGAGATGGGTTTTCAGGGCTGGCTTCCCGACTCCAGCCGGCGCGTTGGAAGGTGCACACAAACCGACACTAACACCCCCATGTCCCCGCTCCATGCAGTGCATCCCTTGAAATCCGCTGCTGTCACGCATTCCTTTCTGAGCCTGCTGCTTTAACGGGATACACGGGAAGTGTTTTGCTCCCCTTTTTTTGTTTTGCAAGATTTCCACCAAATGCAGGGCAACTTTGCTTCCTTGGGGAAGGCACTGGTACAGGCAATGCTGTACTGCCCCGAGAGAGTGTTACGCTTGTGTTTACCTGTGCAGGAGGAGGTGAAGGCGAGTCTTCCACAGTCCCCCTCGGAACTGCCGGGTGGTGGGAGGTGTTGAGATCGCGTGTTTCCACTGCGTTTCTCACCAAGCTGTGATTGCAGACGCACTTGCTGTGGTATTCGACAAAGAGGTCCTTTCTTTTCAGAGGTATTAGCTTTTAATGTGAAAATGGAAGAAACCTCAGAGGGGCAAAGAGAATTGCTCTCTTTGTTCACCAAGCGGTGCTATCGTGGTGGAAGGTTTGTGCCATACACTTGTAGCAAAAGGCAATACTGGCCAGACCAGTGTTACGGTTGGTGCAGGGAAACTTTGAACCCCAGCAAGAGGCTTTTTCTGTGTCCAGACGTGGGAGTTTCTGCTCGTCCTGGGTTCCAGGTATGAGGTTGGTTGGGATTTCCTCCTTGTGCAACAGCAGAAGCTTTACCCTTATCCACTGAAGAGCTGTCCCCACTGTCACGTTAGCCTGATATTGAAGTCACATATTTTTGTTCCCTAGTGGTGGGTGGGTCTTCACTGGGTTTGGCTTTAATGAAGCTGGAGAACTAGATTTGGGAGAAGGTCCTCCCCAAGCACACACACACGCACTTATTTTATGTCCCCTCAACAGGGACCATAACCAGACACAGTCACTTGGATGTGAGTGGGATCAGAGGGGACAGGTCCACAGCCATAAACTGCAGTGTTTGTGTCAACATCTGCTACAGCTCTTCCTTCCAAACCAGCTGCGGGATTCCCTCTAGCCTCTTTGCAGGGCAGAATTTACAAGTGAAATCTGAAGGGGCAAAAAAAAAAAAAAAAAAAAAAAAAGTTTTTCAGCCTGACCCCTTTGGAAATGGTGTAAAATTGTGAATTCACGCGATGGAAGTCCTGCAGACCAAAACCTGCTGTGGACAGGTGATGCAGTGCCCAACCAAAGTGGATGCTTAATAGCTCTCTGAAGTCCTTACACGAACAGTTTAAGTGATCCACAAAAAAATACTGTTCCGCTTTCACCCATTTCCTCCTGACCTCCACCTCCCCTCCAGGGAGAGAAGGACTCTTACTGTAAAAATGTGGACTTTTAAACTTGTTGACTAAAACCAGTAATTAATATTAATTTATATTTGTGAAAAAATGCCACTGTCCTAGTGATTTCTGATGTAAATATGTTGTTTATATAGTATGTATTAAATTTTCCTACATTGTAAAACTGCTGTACTTTTGATTCTTGTATATTAAAAAGTGTTACTGAGATTTTCAGAACCGTGCCAGCGTGGTGTGTCTGGGGGAGGTCCTGCAGCCCCTTGGTGCAGTGGCAGGTCTGGTGGAAGCACAGGGCCCTTTCCGGCCAGCCACGGGCATGCCGGGATGGGTATTTTCACTGTGCAGGAATAAGCGTTTTACATAGTTTCGCAGTCTGTGGTGATAGAGACTTGGAAACCCGTTCGGATGGGAATTTCCACCCCATCGGGAGAAGCCGTGCATTTCCTCACCCATTTCCACCAGGATGTTACTGGGATGCTACCAATGTTTATGTGTTTATGCAACCTCTGTCTTTTTCTGGATCTCGGGGCGGGGTGTAAACTTCTTTTTTGACCTTTTCCAGGGAGAATTCCCCTTTCTCTAGAAGTGCTGCTCACGCTGCTTCGGTGAAGTTCTCTGCTCTCTGCCCATCCCCAGGAGGGATGCGATGGCATCATGCGGGCTGCTTTGGTTTGGTCTTCATCCTCCACCTGTTCACACTGAAGCCCACCTGGCAAGACACAGACTGAAGCCATTTCTCCCACGTTAGAAGAGCTCATAGGAGAAAGGGCTTTTCACACCTGTAGCCATGGGTCCAGCCCTTCCCAGCCCTTCTGCTGCTGAGCCAAGTTTCAGCCAAGAGTGAAATTTTCACAGCTGAGGTACATGTCCCTGAAAAATGGGTTTACTAATGGAGAGAGTGACTGGCTGTTAGCTGTGGGGCTGTGGCAGGGAGAGGAGACTCTGCTGGAGGGAAGCGTAGGGACTATGGGGAGCTGGTCCGGGTGTCCCTGCCCGGAGCACAGCGGTGTGAATCTGCCTGAGGCAGGTGACCTTTTAATTCAAGACCGACTCATCTGTTATCCAGGGGTACCTGCAGGAAAGCTGGAGAAGCAGGGGCCTGAGGAACCTGAGCAGTGGGCAGGTAAGGGTAGGGGCACCCTGATGCCGAGGAACATGGGCGTCAACCCCCCGGCACAGCTCAGCCCGGCATCCAGGGCCAACGCCCACCCGCAGCGCAGTGCTGCAAGCAGTGAAAGCCCGAGGCCTCGTCCGAGCCGCTGGGCAAGTGACCCCTTGGCAGGATGCAACCTCCCGCCTCTCTGCAGGCCCCGTCGGTCCCACAGGAGCATCTCCTCCGTGAGGACATGGTCCTCGCAGTGCTGCGGCCATCCCAGGGTGCTGGGCATGGCCGGGGGCCAGGGCGCGGGGCTTGGGCCCCTGCCGCTGGCTTATCTCGGCGAGGGGACCCATTGCCCAAAGCGGGCAGCAAAGCCGTTGTGCAGCTGTGGGAGCAGGACCCCCAGCCCTGCCTCACACCCACCCCAGCCGAGAAGCCCCCCCTTTTTGACTCACGCTGTGCCAGAGCGGACCCTCTAGAGGGCAGCCGGTTCCTGGCAAAAAGACGTTTTTTGGTAAACAATATTCTGCAGTTGTGGTTGTTCCCAGACAGCTGGGGGTGAAGAGCGGCCGGGCAG